AAGTTTAGTTGAAAACAGAAATCTAAGTTCTCCCCCAATATTTTTTTTTTAGTTAAAAGATCCCCCCTGATTTGTTTAACTCACGTTGGGGTTTGGTTTTAAAATATTCCGGAAAATACCATTTTCTGACTGTCTCCTTTCAATACAGTGTTTCCTGTTTCCAATGGAGGACTTGAAAGAAGTCACGGTTGAGTTAATTACTGTCAAGGTGTATAATGGGATTAATATTGTCTCATCCAGCAAGGGTTAGTACCTTGCTTTGCTTTTGTTTTAGGAGTTGTGTTTATTCATGTTGAGTTTTCATTATCCTTAGGAATTATCTGGAATTTGTTTGTTTGTCTGCTTTTCCAAATAGTCACATTGCTAACTATTTGGGAAGCCTAAAAGACTAGAAAGGTGAATTCTTTAGTTTGCTGGAGAATTTTCCCAGAAAGCAGCTGGTCTGTTTAGCCTGTTAATTTTAGTGAACAGGCTGGATATAACTGATTGTCCTGTCTATTTTTTACTTTTAGATTATCACATTTTACAAACTTTTCCACCAGTCCCCGTCAAAAGAAGAGTGTCTGGTTGGAGCACATATAATTTCCCCATCACTAAAATAAAGAAGAAAATGACTGAAAAGGGTGTTGGGGAGGATCTTTCATTTTAAAAAGAAGCTTCAGAATGATGAAGTGTCTGAAAAAAAATGAAGGGATTCGTATTAACCATTTTATTTACAAGCTAGTAAACAAGGACATTTTAAAATATAAGCTTTCAAAAACTCCTTTTTTATCAGATTTGTGACAGTGATGTAACACTAATTCTCTAATTTTGACTTTATTTTTCTCCTTAATTAAAAACCAAATCTGTGCTCCTTTGCAAGTAATTCATACTAAATATAATTCATCCCAATGTGGAAGTCCTTTGTATGGGACTGGCATGCTGGATAAGCACAGCATGAGTTCTGTACACGTGGTGGATTTCACCAACAGGGAATCCTGTGGATGTCAAACATGCTGCTCATCTCTGGGCTGCGGGATTGTCGTGGTTCAAGCTGACTGAGACAAAAAACCACAACGTCTCTAGCTCATTCCTCCCCCACCCCCATTTCCACAGTGATGTGGAGGGGGAAAATTCAACTAAAAAGGCTCAAAGGTTTGAGATTAAGGATATGGAGGGTAATAATCTTCCACTTAAGATCACGGATAAAGAACCAGAGAGACTTGGGGAGAAAAAACTTAGATTTAATTCACCACCACCATTTATGAAGTAGGATAGCGAGAGGAATACATCAATAAATACAACCTGATCTTACACTTTGCCCCTGCTCTCACCTTCCCAGCTACCTCCTCCCCCTCTATCAGTGCAAGGGGGCAGGGGGTGGAGGGTGCAGTCCATCTGGCCATCTGCTCATTGTCCAGGGCAGCTCCTCTTTCTTGAGGAAGAGGGCTCCTCGCAGTCTCTCCTCCTCGTGAGTCCCTCAGGGCCACGGATCGCTTTGGGCATGTCCCCAGCTGATGCTCAGTCTCTCTCCCCTCTCACACGGGGCTCTGCACGTACCGATGCATCCCGGACGTTCTCACTGCTGTCGATTCCCTCAGCTGGCAGACAGTCACCTTCCTGCCATCTCAGCCACCATGGGCTTCAGGGAAAGGTCCTGCTCTGGCAGCCTCCTCCCTCTTCTTCTCCTCTGGGACTCTTCTTCCACTCTTTCTTCTCAGGGAGACGTTCCTTTAGTCTCCTCTCACCTTCCCCTCCTCCAGCAGAAGAACTCCCCAATATTAAAGACAAGGCAACTCCAAACGAGAGGAAACCAAAAGAGTGAGATAGAACAAAGGGGTCACCTCTTAAATATGTTGATGGCAAAGGCGCTGGTTGGCCTGGCCCTGACCAGAAACAGGTCCAGCTCCTACCTGGGGATGGGGGAGGCTCTCGAAGTTTCGCACAAGTCTATCCCTGCTTTTAAAAAAAACCCACCAGACTCAAACCCATGACAAGTATTCAGCCTTTAATTTGCAATAAATATAACGGGATGGTGTTATTCTTGTCCAAGAAATGTTTTAGGAATTATGTATACAGCAGAACCTTTTTAAAGATCATTAACATGTTACTCTCTAGGCATGTAGGCTGAAGATCAATGCGTCACACAAAACGATGCACTGTCTTCCCTTTCCAGCCAAGCATGCATTGCAGAGCGCTGTAGTGAGCTGCTGGACATAACTCCTACTTTATCACTTCCATTCAGAAGATTCCATTCAATTTTTTTTTCTTCTTCTGAAAGGATTACCGTAAATTACAAACGTAAAACTGCCTGTGCTAGGTGATCTCACACTCCTTGAGGCCACTTCTAGCACGTGGCTGTGCCTGGACACAGAGCACAGCGAGGTGTTAGGTGTTGGAAACCTTCTGAACAACCCATCACCAAGTTAAAGACGGGGCAGTGAACAGGCAACAGTCCAAAAACTCTGAGAACTGCTTTTGAATTATCCCGCTCCTGTGTGCATGGGAAAGAAATTTGGATAACGACCTGATGGTCTAATATTTAATTAATCAGGGAAACAAAGAAAATGCTGTAGTCCTCCAGTAACAGGCTGTGAGTCTCAGTGAAAATCCCATCTCAACGGTAAGCACAGTGACAATTGTTTCTATCAGGGAAGACGGCATTAGATTGAATTGCCTTCTTGATTTAGTAGATTTGACTTCTACGTTTCTACACAATGACCTAAAAGAAATATTATACCCCAGAGTAACTTTGAAATTGTTTGTTTAAATTAACTTTCATTTGGATTTATGCTTAATGAAATCTTCAGAGATGCAGACAGCCCCTCTCTAATGAAATGCTGCATCTTTGAACCAATGAAAAGGGTTGCCAAACTGTAAGGATTCCTCTCTAAACGAGTGGGCTTTTATAATGTTACACTTGGGTGGCACAAGCAGAGTGCTAGATGATTAGTTTATGGTCTAGATCATTGTATTTTTATTACACTCATAAAAGCTGTGTTTCTCCTCATTTTCGTAATGGCTTCAATGAGCTTCTATACCTTCTAGAGGCACATTAAATCGTTATGCGATGAAAGTACTGATTTAGTGGGGCTAGTTTTAAAGTAAGATACATGTTTTGAATTCTTACCTTAGTCTGATGGCTGGCTGAAAAGGGTGGAAGTACGTTAGAATGGGTGAAAACTGTGTCATTCCTTACATACAAAGAAGATTCCCAGCTGTGGCCTAAAACAAATCCAATACAAAAAAGATACAAAGGATAAATCTACTTCTGTCTATAAAATAAATTGTCTATAATTTTAAAGTATTTTTACTGATTTTCAAGTGTTATAAGTATTTAACAGGAGGATGAGTGGATTTTTATTTAAGAAAATTTTTAAAGGGAAAAAAGGAAGATAAGAAAGATTATTTTTATTCCTTACTTTCAACTGTAATTTTTTTCCCCACTTCTGTTCAAAATCATAAAAAAGCCTCTTCTGTGCAAGCCCTAGATTAGTTTCTCTAAATAATTCTAAGCTGCTTTTTAAAGTTGTTTTAATTAGGTTGCAAAATGAAAAAAATGAAGAAAAATGTTATTTGTTTCTCTATATGGAAGCTGTTCTTAAAAGAGGAGACAACATCATTACCCGTGAATGGGAAACCTTTTTATTTGATATGTAATTAAAAAAATAATCCTTGAATTGAATGTATCATCTCATCTTTGCACAGTTTAGACAAAGGCCTTTTTTGTTTACAAAATTTACATGTCAATACAGTTGCTTATAAATATTTCTGTGAAATAAACATAACTCTTCACAAAAAGAGCAGTTTACTCTTCATTCAGTAATTTTATATGCTAGCAAAAAGACAATGAAAGTTGTATGCAAATATAACATCAATGTACAGCATAATAATAACAGTTTTTCGTGATTATGCTGCTTGGTATTAATTCATAGGAGCCTTTTTGTTCAGCCGTGGGCTGTGTTTGGAACAGAGATGTGCCAGACCACAGCATCTCCGCTTGTTCTGCAGTTTGTGGGAGACGATGCGCTGGATTCCTGTGTCCTACTCTGTGGCTGGTCTAAATTATTAGGTGATCATGCTGGTAATAAAGACACTCTGTTTTCCTCCATTCCTGTACCTGTGCTCTGTGAGTGCACAGTCTACAGCAGGAGTTGGACTTCTCTTCTACCGACAGTGAAAGGAAAAAATAAAGAAAGAAAAAATAAAACTAAAAAAGGAGAAGGGGTAAGAGAGATAGAAAAGAGGAAAGGAGCAGGGGAAGAAAGAGAAACAACCAAAAAGTTAAGGAAAGAAAAAAAAAAGAAAAGAGATGGAAAAATGAAAAGGAGAGGAATAAAGAAGAAAAATGAAAGAAAGAAAAACGAAGGAAGGAAAAAGAAAGAGAAGGTAATGCACATTTGCAACAAAGCTTTTATAAATGTGCTTTTGGAGGGATGATTTCTGCATCTGAAGTGTTTCTGGAAGAAGAAATTTGGTTTGGGTTTTTCCTACCTTTTCCTCATTACCCTTGTTCAGATGTAACTTTTGTGACTGTTTCAGCAGTGCAGTACTTCATTAGCTTTTGCTAAGTGGCAGACTGTGAAAAGAAAGAGGGTTGAGGACACAAACAGGTTTCACTACGTGTGACTTCAGCAGGTCCATGCTCTTTAGTATTAAATATCAAATCAAATCCCAAATAGTTGTGTGTTCTGCAAGCATCATTTGGTGTTCCCTGTGTGGATCTAGAAGTCTGAGAGAAAAGCAGCTGAACATGGTACCGGGAACGAGGAGAGATTTTGTGGAAGACCTGAATGGAAATTGCAGGAAATTCTTTAATATTTCATGGACGCCTGCAAAATATGGTGCCAGTTTATTCAGGGATTTGAAAGCAGCTGCAGAGTAAAAGTGTCTAATGAAAATGAAATAAATTTCCTGTGAATGGAATAAATTTTGATTGTGTGTCTGAGTGCAGTAATTATACATGTCACGCAGTAATTAGGCAGTCACAATGTGGCCACGGTGTCTTTCTTTGTCTGCAGATGGTCTGGGAGAACGGCTGTGTCGTTATTGTCATGCTGACACCCCTCACAGAAAACGGAGTCAAACAGTGCTACCACTATTGGCCAGATGAAGGGTCAAACCTCTACCACATCTATGAGGTACTTAACAAAATATCTGATTTTAAATGTGGCAGTAAGTGTACGGCTTGATTTCATACGGGGCAGGATGGTGCTTGAGGCCATCTAACCTGGAGGTTGAGTTCAGGGCTCTTAAATACTCTTCATGTGCCTTCGAGTAGTTTTGGATTTGCGAAAAAATCAAGCGCCGCTTTTAATAGCAAGGTAGTTTCCGCTTAATAAAATGTAGTAAATAATGAGCTAAGTATTGCAGTGAAAGGAGGACAACAATTTTGTTTTTCAAATGGTTTTGCAAGTGGTTAAAATGTGAAACTGTGTATTTATATTTTATAGAAAACTAGTATTTTTAGAACTAGTGAATTTTGCCTTAGGAAAAACCATATGTATATCTTTGTAGAAAAGCTTCTATATAGCTTTAGTAATTAATACTATCTATTTTTATCCTTGCCTCAGCTACAACAAGAAATATATATTTTTATTTCCTCCTTACATTTCTAGCTCAAAATAACCTGTCACAAGTTTTGTCAAAATGTGCCATTGACAATGTATGTCAGTTTTTTCCAGTTGTCCAGCTGAGTAAAGGAAGAAAACAATACCACAATGCCAGATACGAAGAATAGGAAAATGTGCAGAAATACTATTTAAACTAAAATGTGAACAAACTCTTTTTCTGAAAATATGAGCTCTGCAAAAAAAAAAAAAAAGCTGCATTTTTTTATGTTTATGTTTCTACTTAGCAGAAGAAACTGACTTTTCACTTCTCGTGTGAATCCAACTCAGATTTTTAAGACTGTTGAGAACAGCCTGGGCAATGCATTGTGGGCATTGCCAAGTAGAATGAGACTGGCAGTCTAACATGTTTTCAGGCAGTGTCTTTTCTATTCACATAACGATATAAAGTTTCGATTTAGTGAATTTTTTTCGTTTGGATTGAAACTGTCAAGAATTATTTTTATGTTTTCAATAAAATAGCACCGGCAGCTAATCCGTTTCTGACTACTACACTGATTGCTACAATAAATTAAAAAAAAATCCCCAGCAATGGCCAATTTGCTAATAAATATAAAGCTTTCATGCGATTCCTTTATCCCAGACATCTTACACCTGCAATCCTGAAGATGTGGCTTGCAACCGAAATTGCTTATCTCTGCTGGTTCCTTCCTGTGGGATGTAGGTAAACCTTGTCTCTGAGCACATCTGGTGCGAGGATTTCCTCGTGAGGAGTTTCTACCTGAAGAACCTGCAGACGAACGAGACCCGCACAGTGACACAATTCCACTTCCTCAGCTGGAACGATCAGAGGGTTCCTGCTTCCACAAGATCGCTTCTGGATTTCCGCAGGTAAAGCACAAAGTATGACAGTTCCCTTAAGATAATACAGATCCGAGGAACTAAATTTAGTCCTTTTAATTGTCCTTTAAATATTTACGGTTTGAAAGGGGCTTCCTCAGCCTGTGATGACACAATGCTAAGCTAAACTAACACAAAAATCTGCAGTAGGCTGATGTTTAGTGTTGTCTCACAGGTAGATGTTGCCTGGTTTTCAGACACGCTCATTTCCCATTTAGAGGTCAATACTTTTCCTCCCTTTGTACAGATCTTCAGTGCTTCTGTATCTCTTTGTTTGCCAAGTATTTATCCATTCTGCAACTTCCAGGGTTTTTTTGGCTCACCTATGGTGCTTGTTGCAGGAATCTCACAAATAAACTATGCAGTGTGAGCACATTTGAAAAAAAGTCACGATGGAGTCCTATGGCAACAATGACATTCCCATGAAAGTGTTTACTTGTAAGGATCAAACAGTGAAGTCTTTGGACCTTCTTTGGTTGCAGGAGGGTAGAAATTTGAGAACACAGATGAAGATGTTGACAAAGCTTGCCCTCTGGAGTTTTAAAGACAGTCAGCGTAGCTTTAAAATACAAATAGACAAAGGCAAAACCTGTGAAAGTCCATGCAAAACCTGTGAAAGTCCATGCCACCATCTCTAATGTTTGCTATGTGTATCTAAATTTTAATTTGAAAATTAAAGCCGGGCATGATAAATACAGGAGTGAAATAATCTTCATTTGATTGCAAACCGTGCCCACTGCATCATGTGTAGGTGTTAGCATGTGTCAGCTAATCCACAGCGATGCGTTTATGATTAATGAAAAGAATCTCCATGAGGTTTGGGGAGTTGGATCTCAATCCGCAGGCGGCCTGTGGGCTTGCATGTTTTCCTCTCTCTGCTACATTATCTACAATCCCCCGAAGTGATTAGAAGGGGCTTAGTGCTCAAAAGGTCCAAACTTGTTTCTTTCAGTAAGTTCTGGGAGCTCTGACTGATGCACCTGCACCCGAGGGGAGAAGCTGGCTTGTATCTGTCGGGAGCTGGTTACACAGTTGTCCGTTTGTGAAATTTTACCCTTAAAAAATGCCACTTTTTACTCAACAGTATTCTTGTATGTACTGCAAGGCGTGCCAAAGCAGACAGTCATCTTATACAGCGCAGGTCACATAGCAGAGTACAGCTGTACTGAGTCACTAGGAGCTACGGTTAGGTGAAAGTATAAGGATGTGAGACAGAGTCGCAACACAAAAACAGTGCCAGAGGAAGGAAGCATGGCCACAGGAGGGAGTTGAAATTGTAGTTGCATTCTCAAGGTTTTCTTCTCTGGGTTCAAGCTTTAATGTAATTTTTACAGGTTGATTTGCCTTTGATAGTGGTACTGAGGAAGTTGTTTGTAGGGAATTTCTGTAGTGAAAATTCTGACCTGGTTCAATTAAGCTATGTGAGGCTGCAGCACGGAGCTCACGCGGCATCTGATTTTGCTCTTTTTTAAGTTAGTGGGAAATCTGCTAACAATTCTAACTAGACTATAAATGAGGCTGTACAGCCGGGATGTCTGAAGTTCGAAACACCTCGACTCGAACTTGCTTCAGTAAGAATTAAGGTCCCTGCATAAAGTGCAGGATTAGTTCTACAGTAAGTCGCAGCTCACATTGCCAGGAAAGCACTTCCTAGAGTGACATTGTATAAGGGTTAAACAGCCATGTTGAAGAAGTGTTGTGGAATACTTTGAAAAAGAAAAACTATAAGTAGATGAGAAAAGTAGTGGAGCTGCCATTCTTTGTATTTAAAGCCAGTACGGGAATGAACCTGTTAAGATTTAATTGAATTCTGAGTGTTCATTTCATACGTATTCACAGTCCAGCGTAGGGTACTGTAATCATTTGCTACGTGCAGATTTTGTACAATGAACTCATAATACTGAATGCATAGTAAAATTCCGCCTGAAAAGGAATTTTGGCATGCACAATAGCTGGTCTATGAATCTCAGTTTTCTTGGTCATCTGATGTCGCTGTTTTTTTTTAATGACAAAGAAACTAATGCACTCTTGCTAAAATAACGTATTTGGAATTCATTTATACATGTTTTGCACCCGAAGCTTCCTATTTAAAGTACAAACTGCTGGATTATGACAGCTGAGTCATAAAGCCCTCAGAATAAATGTCTGGTGGCGCTACCATACTTGTAGTAAGGTAGTGCTAGGAAGGGGCTGCTCTCATTTCTTTTAATCTTATCTATGTTTTTATGTGCATTCAGTGTGTTTGTATATATATATATATGGATATGTGTGTATATTTATATATTCACATACATATATGAAATTAAGCATATACATAACCAACCCTCTATTTTTTATAATTCATCACCAAGAAAAATTGGATTCCCAAAATTACCTTGCCCAGAGTCTGTGGAAATATGGACCTTGAAATTTTTATTGAAGTAAATTTTGCAAGTCTCTTTGAAAACTGAAAGCGTACATTTCTCTTACTATGTATCAGACAGTGTTTTAGATTATTTTGCATCTAGCAGATACATTAAACCTTGCAGAATAATCTATTATACTTTCATAATGTAGGTATAAATTGCCAAAAAGAGATTATTCTGTGTATTTTGAAAATCTGTACAAAAGACAGTCCCTGAGAGGTGAGGCTACTACAGAAACCACTGGTCAGTTTTAAATGCTTCTGGAGTCCTAATTTCATTTTGAACAATAGACCAATCATTATTGCTCTGGACTAGCTTGTTAGTCATGCACTGATATGTGTAATTAAATATTTCTTGAGCCCAGAGGGAGCACATTTACACTTTAAAGAGGGACTGCTAAGCTAAAAGATAATTAGCATCACATGTGAGGGCTTTGCTTAAAATATATATCTATTATGCTATCACTTCTCGCTGTGTGCAATGGCATTTACTAACACTGCTCACTTTAAAAATGGACAAATTCTTATTTTGCCAGCTAATTAGCGGTTGCCAGTGTCATTTTTGTGATGTTGCAGCTAGTAATATGAGCCCAGTTGCATAGTCACAAAAGTGATCATTGGAAACTGTGACTCTGCTGCAGGGACAATGTGGGAAACCCCTTTTCTGAGCCTCTAACGACCTCTGACCTTTGCTTGCTGATGGTTTGCATGATGATTTCTTTTTCACTCAATGAGCCAAGGGTTGGTTTGTATTACTAATCATTCTTTCTAAGTTAATTCTTCTTGTATATGTGTATATATATATAATATATATTTTCTTCAACACTCAAGAACTTTGCTTACTGATGAATTTTCAGCTCACGCTCATTAGCCAGAACTAGGAATGAAATGAGATGTTGCTGCACTTCTAAATATTTTCATAAACTATATATAGAAAAAGCTATGAACCAGCTGGATGGAAACCCTTTGTTTTAATGTGTTTTCTGAAATGTGTGATAATGAAAATGTTTGAAACGCCTTCAATAAAACTGACAAACATAAGGTGTCTTTCCCTTTTTTTTTTGGCTGTCTGATTTACTGGGAGGTCTGATGTACTGATAGGTTTAGATCGAGTTTGTCATTGAAATTATATTAGGACTTTGGTAGATGACTACTCACAACACGCAAATATCATATTAGTGGTGCCAAACAAGGAACAAAGGAACCTCACAAGCAGAAAAAGAAATGGTAAATACCCCTCTGTAGTCATTAGCTTTTATTTAACACTTTAAATGCAGAAACAACTCTTTACTAATGCACGTGATGGGGGGTGAGGGAGGATGACCAGCTGCACATAGGGGAGTGCAGACTGCTGTATCAGATGCTGTCGCAGGCATTTCAAATACAATTCACTGTACAATGCAAAAAATAGATACCAGGCTTTATATTGTGTAGAAAAAGTTGGGCCTCAGATATGACCATCAAGAACTGAATGGTTTATTCTTGTGAAAACTCTGCTGCAGCTTAAGTCATAGAAGTTTCACTTGCTAGTGCCTGTGTATGTTCATGGACATATAAATGGTCAATTTAACTTCTAAAGTCACGTGCTTCTCAATGACTTACCACTTAATTTCATAGAATGTTGTTCTACTGTGTTAATTGCTTACATCCAAGGAATATAAAGACAGAATGTTTCTGCATGTATGATTTAAATCAGTAAGCGAAAGAGTAAGAATTGTGAAAAATTCCTGAATTCTAATGTTTAAAGGGAATCATTGCAAGAACTTAATATTGTTATTAAGTTTGGTTAGCGTCTTAAATAATAAGAATTAGAATGTGAAAACATGAGACACCACCAACATCTCTATAGCCTGTTTGGATTGAGTTTCAGGTATCCTGACTCCCTGTCACATTTAGAAGTTTAGGCATCTTCAGGCTATACTGTAAGCAATGTTTAAAGATATATGCATGTTTTCACAGCACAGATGTTAGTGAATAGATGAACAGCCAAGAACTAAATGATTCAGTAGGTTAGTTATGCTTCAAAATTCATAATAACATTGTACCACAGTTGCCAAATTCCAGCAGCTCACTTCGGTTTAGCACTTGAGATCCTGTATAGCATTATAGATCCTATATAGCTGATCTGGGGCCTATTAGAGGGTCTGGGCATCCCTTGGAAGCTGCCCTTTGAAGTGGTTTTATAGGAGACCTTCTAGCTCCAGTAAACTCAAACATCTCATCAAGCAAATTGAATGAAATGTTTTAATTTCTTGAAGCAATGTGTTCCCATTTTAGCCTTTATTCAGCTTGCCTTGTTAACATATGTGTGCATATTTTGGTTTTTTAGGCCTGTAACACACTTGACATGCAAAATATATCCTAGAGCAAAAGAGAGGGTTTGGGATTTTGTTTTTTCTAAGGCAATTTAAATAGATTTAAAACAATTTTGTGGGCTCTATTCTTAGACTGAGTATCTGAGTTTGCCTCAGCATTAGCCAATTCCTTCATTGAGTTTACATATCAGCAGATCTGTTCTATAGTTGTACTTTTATTGATTGGCTTCACATATATTCTCTTGTCACTCAGAATATCTAACCAGGAGCCTGTGGAACACAGTAATGTACAAGTACTAAATGTATAAGACTGCTGCACTAGAACCAAAGCAGTAAAGCTTACTGATGGATTGAGTTATTTTTACTACAATAGATTATGGTTTAGAATTTTTTGAGAATATTTTCAGATTTGATATTTGCCTTTCTAGGAAGAACTGGTTTTACAAAGCAGCACACATTGTACAAAGTATACCGGTATAGCCATTTTTAATTCTGGATCCTGTTTGATGCCCCTCAATATTTCTTTGAGCAAGCTCACGAACTCAATGCTGGCTTTCAAATTAAAGCATCTGAAGATAATCTTAGTTTTGGAGCTAAGACATGAGACATTTGAGAAAAGAGATCATTTGTGTAGCTTAACTAACAACGATGATGGGATATTTTCTGGGCTTTCTGCAGCAAAGCAGAAGCAAACTTTAAACAAGATTATGTATGTAGCAACTGTTCTTTAGAGGTCCCTTCCAACCCCTAACATTCTTTGATTCTGTAACTTCTTGTTATATTAGGAAATTATCAATCTGACTGTTTCTTTAAAGACTGCTGTATTTTCTTTTTCTTGCTGCTTATTTTTGACAGTTGGCTAAAGAAACACAGTAAGTAATACACTTAATTAATTTTTTGTGTCTCTTTTATTTCAGAAAAGTAAACAAGTGCTACAGGGGTCGCTCTTGTCCAGTAGTTGTTCATTGCAGGCAAGTATAATTTCTAACATAGCTTTAGAGAGATTTGTATGTGTAAGCATTCGATATAGATATAAGCAAAATGGGCAGATTAAAGCTTTAGATGAATCACTAAAGAGGTAGTGAGGTAGGCTGAAGGTATATATTAAATATAATTCAACTGAGTTTTGATGCTAATTAATACTTAGGATCTGTGTTCATAATAAAATTGTCCTTTCCTATGATTTTGCAGATGCTGTGCCATGATTTAACAATGTATCACCACCCTTTCCAATATAAGTAACACTTCAATTTTATAAATTTTCTTAAAAATTATAGTACTTCATTGCATTCCCTCCCAATTTTTTTCTTCTTTGCTTGCTTTTAGCAATCATAGTAAGAAGAGAGCATTGTCAGGGAGTGGAAACCTATCCAGTCACTGAGTAATCATTTAAGGACAGATTATCTTTAGACTGATAGATGCACACGAAAGCTATTGGGCAGGTTGAGGGAAAAAATTTACTTTAATAACGTAAATGTTCAGGTTTGCCATTGGATGTTCTGAGGTACAAGGAGAATGTTGCACTTATTTATTGGAGATACTTTTGTAGGATAGGAAGACAGAAAACCAGCCGTGCTAAAAGGCACGTTGTTTGCCATGCCTCGCTCCACTTTGGAAGAGGACGTGTTTCTCACGTATGGCTCAGCAGAGTCACCTTCCACTGGATGTGAGGGGCTCTTTGCAGAGGTTAATGCTCTGGGGGAGGCTTGTTTGCATTGCCTTCAGGAAGCCTAAGAAAAAAATATTTGATGTAGAATGAAGAGCCTACGAGTTTCTTGCTTTTTCCTTACTGTGACGGATAGAAATGTCTACCGTCGGCTCAGAAGTTTTTGGTTTTATTTGGCCTGATCGTTGCCTTGTCTCTCATTATTCAGCTTAACTAATAAGATTGTGTCTTTGTTCCCTTCATAGACACAGAAAAAAAATTATTACCATTACCTCCTTTTCTCTAAGCAGTAATCCAGTAACTGAAAGAAAAAAAAAACTGTCTTCAGAGACTTAACAAAAATTGTTTCGTAGCCTGCCTGTAAACAGAATGTAATAACGTGCTTCATGCTGTTCTATTATTTTTTCCTTTCATTAATTGTTGTGCACAAATTGAGCTATCAATAAAAATAATGGCGTAATTAATAAAACTACGTACCAGTCTAATTGGTCACACATGCACCTTTGTAAAAATTTTGGGGAGGGAAAGCGAAAAAGCTTTTACTTAAAGTCTTAATTATGTTTGCTAACAGCAGCTCTAAAAGAGCATCACACTGGCAATTACACGTTGCTCTCTGAAAGGGACACAAGCTGCATTCAGATTAGAGAGCTTTCCCCCTCCCAAGGCTTGGTCTCACATCTCTGAGGAAGGGCTGATGACACACAAAAATTAAAGGTGATTCTTAGGAATTGCGTGCTAACTTTTTTTCTGATCATTGCAACTAAGGAAGAAGTAAAGGGAAGGGTAAAGATAAAAAACAAACCACTTGTGATGTATAGTGAAGAAAGATCACAGTCCCTCGGTAATCAAATATTTTGGTTCTCAAACAGATCTCTGTATGCATTCCCTCTGACTGCCGTGTTCAGGTGCAATCTGCAACGTTCTGGGACCGTTCTGGATAATGTTCTATTCTAAATTATTCTGTGATTCTTGACCTCATACACAAGTGACTATAAGCTCATTATATGTACACTTTCTGAACAGAAATGGTATCCTGTTTTAGGGTTAGTGACTTTCCACTGTTGTTTAAAATGCTTGTCTTGCATAAATACAACTTGGCTTAAAAAATCAAACCAAAGCCCTGTTATCTGTGCAGGCTAGTAGATAATCCTCCACCAACAGCTTTTGTTTCTTCAGTACAAGTTTTCTCTCCTCTCTGAATACCCTCCTTTAGCCCCTTGTTCTCTCCTTTCCCCCCATGTGTAACTGTATAATGTTAAGGGCAGATACCTTCATGTTGAGTCTAGATGCACATTGATAGGCTTTATTTTTTTTCTTTTTCCCTTTCTGTTGGCAGCGATGGTGCGGGAAGAAGTGGAACCTACATTCTAATTGACATGGTTCTCAATAAAATGGCCAAAGGTGAGAATCAAAAGGCTTGTTACTTCCTCGGTACTGAAAGATGTGCTTGTGTTACCATGACAACTCGGGGAGCAATATTCACAGAAAATCTGAGAATAAATTAGAGGCAAATTGTGCTCTTTCCTGAATGTTCCTAAGTTTTATTTTCATAGCAATTTCAAACAACAAAATCAAACACAAATGCTCTGTGAATGAGCAGGTGGTTTTGTCCTGTTGAATTTTTAAATTTATGATATAAAGTAGTTAATGCAGTTTTTAGAAGATATCTGTACAATCCTTAATTAGTGGTTGCATGAGTTAGGTCCTGGGCTGCTTCGTGATTGTTTCCAGGTCCTCAGTCAGCTACCCAGCCACAATGGTGAAAAGTGATTATTTCTCTTCTTGTAGCTGTCCATTGCCAACAAAGCACCAAGAAGAGCAGGTACTGGACAGAGCCTCATGTGCTGCACAAATTTGCCTCTTAGGAGGAAAAAAACTGTAGTGAACAGGGCAGAGGACTGAAAATAAATCGGCTAATGCTCTGTTCCCTTTTCTGCCACTGTCTCTTCCATATTGAGCAATTTATTTTAACTATTCTGTTCCTTGGTTTTTTTATTTGTGAGATGTGATTTTATGAAGTGGGAAAACATTTGTCAACATAAATATATACTGTTCTTTGTTTGAAACAAAGTCTGTAGATGCTCTGTAGTTTGGGACCATTCCTTTACTTTTTATTAATTTGTAAATGGTTTGTGGTGGGAAATACTTGAGATACCCTGAAACAATCTTTAAAAGTTAGAACTAATCCAAATGTTTAATACTTATACTGACTTCAAAAGGAAGGAGGGTGACAGTGAGCATGTAAACCTGACCATATATTAAAAAGACATAATAGTCAACATTATATCTTGTACCCCTTCCTCATGCCTTCGACCATGTTTGTATCAAAGTTTCATAGCACTGCGTTTTAAGAGGAAGAGGTGAAGTTGAAAATGAACAAAAACTAGTCATTTGCTTATCTTAATTGTTAACCTGATTTCTTAAGCCAACTTGATCTGGCATTATGCACATACATGTATTTAAAGAAAAACAATTAATTGTAAAAACATTAATTCATGTAGAGAAACAACATAGAGTCCTTTGAGTTCTAATCACTTTACAGTTTTTTAAAATCTTCTAACACAGATGTATTTTTTTTATGTAGTTTAAAAATACATTCCATGCTTTGCAGTCATTTGCTCTTGCATCCTGCATATCCCGGTCCTGTGGGACATACTGGTGTACTGTTGCTCTAGAAAGAAAAGTTTAGCATTTTTTTTTCCCTCTCCTGATTCTGTTAATATGTCTTATAAAACATGGACTGAATTTTCTGCCTGGAAGCATTGTGTGGAACTTGCTGCTGCTGTTAGAAGAAGTTGTGTGTTTGCCTTCTCCTTAGCAGTATACTGAAAATAAATTTTTCAGTGGGATGAGATTAGTTTTTCATGCTCGTTGGAAAATAGGTTTTCGCTCTGTGAAGGAATATGGAGATATTTCCAGTGCTTGTTACATGCCACGTGACAGCTTAGTCTTTAAAAATAGAAGCAATGACATGTCGTAAAATTAATGTAGACTTTTGTTAGGTGTTTGCTCGGCTCATTTCAGTCATCAGCAATGAGAAGCCGTAATGAAAACTGGATTTAAAGTATATGCAATTTACTCGCATAAAGAAGTAAATGAGAAGTATTTTCTAGCTTGGGGCTTTCAGCCACTTAAGGGAGGGTTGACTTTGTTGTAAAAGCACTGAAGAATGCCATTTATTGACTCCATTGTACCATGTAATGTCAAATTCCATTTTAAGTGTGGGCTTAGCGCTTCACAATACCAGACAAGTCATGTGAAACTGGCCAGAGAAAGGCGTCACAGGGCTTTTTGGAGATCGGTCACCCCCATTTTGTTCTTGACCTGCTCCCCTCTGCCCGTGGGGGTGTGCGACGCAAAATCCTCTGACCTGGTGCTTTGGCTGGGGTTTAAATGAAAGATCAAAGGGCAGAGCGGGCATCTCAGCCCTGCTGAGGTGGGCCTTTCCCAGGCTGTCACACTGTGCGGCCGCCAAAGGTTTTGTTCGGGCGGGAACCGAGGCCCAGCCTGTGCGGCCGGGGCCCTCTTTGTCTGGCCTGAGAAGCTGGAGGCCCAGGTTGAGGATCCAATGTTCGTCAAATGATCAAAGGCCTGAAGCCCTGGACATGAAATCTTTCTTTCCATTTCCTTTTCTTAGAGAATGAATTGCACGAGTGGCAAAGAATGCCCTTTCCAAAGCTTTTATGTGGAGTGCGAGGGCTAACTTCAGAGTCCTTCAGCGCTAAACATAAAAATGTAAGTGCACTTTCAATCTGGGCCCAGCTGCAAGGCCAGCATCTAGTAACATTTCTTTCAAAAAAGGCTTTTAAGGATTAAGGCCTTCAGGCTTTCAAAAAAAAAAAAACCCCCCCAAAACCCCACCATGGACTTTTAAGAATAAACTTAGAATAATTTGAATTTCTTGTTCCACTGTCTGGTTTATTAGAAAGTAGACAATAATGCATTTTTAAATCAAAGTAAATAGAGGAGTACTTAGTTTTTGCGCTGGGAAAGTAGAAAGCAATCAATAAATGCCTTGGCTCTTTAGTGGGGTTTTTAATAGGGTAGGTTGAGAAAAGGAGCTCCTTTTTCATGTAATGATTTACTTCCCTGCATTCTCTTAGACGGTTAACTGTAAATGCCTTTGTCATTTGCAATTTCTTCTCCTAGTGCTCATTGAATCAGTGCTAATACTTAGTCTATTATACACATTATAAATTGTATATTTTACTATCTTGCCTGTTGCCATCCCTCATATTATTTTAGACGCTGAAAACCACCAGCAAGGGTCCTGTTCCTAAAGCCAGGGGAAAAAACAAAATCGAATTGGGGAGGATTTTGTGCTTGGCGCCAGCCACATCAGTCCAGTGGCCGCAACCCCTTCAAGAGAGCAGGAAGGAAGTTTTTTTTTTTAAAAAAAAAAAGGCGTTTTACAGGATGGCAAAAGTTGGTACCGAGGGTAGAAATACTTTGGGGCTGGGCGGGGGGCGAGCTAGCAGGAGGTCACACAAGAGCTGGCAGGGAGCTGGCAGCAGCAAACCCCTTCCCGGCTGCCCGCCGAGGTGGAGGAAGAGCCGCGGGACTGCCTCCGGCTCTGCACAGCGTCAGGAAGGATGTCCTGTTGGGTCGGGGTTTTAATGAATTTCGCTGTCCTCTGTGCAGTAAGTGTAATGGCTGTATCTGTGCATTCACTCCAAACAGCCACATTAAATAATCTTATTAGATACTGGAACAGCCGGAGAACAACGGTGTCTATTCAGCGGTGTCATTCCTGTGTCGTGTCAGTACAAAGTTTTAAATGCAAGTGTATCCTTTTGTTTAGTTGTTCCAGTAACTTAGTGCTGCTATTTATCATGTCGTTTATTACTATAATTATTTTCCTTGCTACGCTGCTATGCAGAGTAGTTACAAGACCCTGATCCTGTACCATTAAAGTAATAACAAAAAATGAAAGTGTTGAATCTGGCCTTACAGGAGCACAATTAAATACTACTTAATGTGAATTAACTCTGATGACAATTTAATGATGATACTATTTTTAAATGGGTGTTACAATTTTAGGACAGTTACCAAGTCACCTCTCATTTCGGTGACAGACAGCTCAGGACAAGATTTAGTTTTGAGTGAGAAGTGATTTATTTCAAATCGATGTGCGCTTCCATGATTTAAATAAACACAGAAAATTATAACGGATTGGTTTTGTAGATAACAATGCTTGTGGGACTTTGGACAGAGACTGTTTTTCTGGGCTGAACTCTGCTGAGAATTTCAACATTCTTGATGTATTTTTGAGTTTTATCCTTTGTTACTAAGGAAGATACACTGATTTAGATTTAGTCTACTTGATATTCCTTCTTCACCCCAACCTCACAGTGACTCTGAGCTGATCAGGTTTTTTTCTTTTTGTTTGATCTAGAGAAAAATTGATAGTTTTCTTGTTTTTTTGTCTTTCCTGCAGGCTTATTGTAGTGACTGAATATATTGGTATAATGCAAGACATTTTTATTGAGTGTTTCTGGCATGAAAAAGGAAAAAAATGAGATTATAAGTCTTCCTACTTTCATTTTTCTCAACTGAGAGGCTTGGATAGTGTAGATAATAGTTTGATTTTTAGATATTAATCCAGCCAGCAGCTGCTTATGGTTTGCTGACCATCCATTTTCTTGTGTTTGAACTAGCTGGAACAAGCTGAGTCAAAGGGAAGGCGAATATGAATTTTAAAATCCTTTTAAAGTATTGATTTCTGAATTCTAAAACCCAGCAAAAAGATTTGATTTAGCAAAGCCGAACTAACGGTTTATTCTCTCGCATTCAAAAGCTTGGATTATGATTGATGAGCACACACACTCTGGCCTGGGCTGGCTGTGGAGGTTATCTCCCCAAGTCCTTGCCTTGCCCCCGCTACCCTATTGTCTGAGAGTCTTGTGAGTCAGCTCCTGAGCAGATGCAGTTTATACCGTGACATTTTAAGGCAAAACAAAAGATTCCTTAATTCGCCTTCTGACTCATCATGATCAAATGATTTTGGCTAATCTGAACCCTTGCTGAGGTTTTGCTTATCTGCCGTGTGGATTTAACAATCATAATGAAGTTGTGGGGCTAGCTCCTCTCTGAAGAGATTTTATGAAAGAAAATCCTTGGCCATATTCATGTTAAAATGCATTCAAGCTGCTTATTTTTGAGTCCTTATGCAAAGTCTGAGAAAATTCTATTGTTTGGCTGCGATGATACAAGTCTAGAGGAGACTATTTCTGACATACTCATGATGAACAAGGGAATATTTCTTCATCCCAGAATCCATCTTCTCCTGTGAAAATAAAACTTAACATACTATGTGTCATGCAGTGACTGAGAGAATAAATAGTGTAAAAGAGAGATTACTTTTTTTTAATGCTATTTAATGGCAAGAGGACAAGAGGTAG